TGGTTAATGGTTAAAAAACGTTTTGTATTCTGAACAATTTTTGGTCGTCAGTCAAATCTGCGGAACACACCGTGCACACAATCGTAAGCCCAAATGTTCGGTCAAAATGCGATAAATCGATGTTTTGGAGATGTTCAATTCCATTTCCGTGAGTTTCAATGAATATTTCTGCTGATTTTTGATGAGTTCACGCACAGTTTCGATGGAATTTTCGATGATCACTATTAATGTCCTCACGACCAGTTTGAAAATCATCGCCATAAAATTGCTTCATCAATTGACACGTTTCGGTAAAAGTTTCACCAATTTTAAAACAAAATTTAATGTTGGCTCTTTGTTCGAAGCTCATTTTCGCACCGATAACACAAACATACTGACACTTAAAATGCAATAACTTCACTTCCAATCAACGAAATGTCATGAAGTTCTCACTGAACAATCGATAAAGATAGCAGAATCTAAGGCAACAGTCGACATATAGATGACGCCACCAGGGGCGCTAGATTCAAAGAGTTCTGTTTATTTTGGAACGTACCTTGTACAATGGTATGTATAAAACTTTTCAAAGAAAGCAAGTTCGGATATAGATTAGACAATAAACTTATCACTTATGTTTGTTATTTATTAGAACACTTCTAATTTTATTGCAGGTTTTTAAATAAAATTTTAATAATAAAAAAAATAATGTGCGTTAATTTGGTATTATTTCAAATATTTTTGGGAATTCATAAGCATGACCTTGAACGAGCATAAGCGTGAGCTTTAAAAGGACTCTGCAAAATCAGTGTATAATGCACGAGACTTAAAATCAAATTATGAATATTATGATAAATTCAAGAACAAACGCAGTCAAATGTGAAATAACATGACAGCAAAGCTTTTAGTTATTTATTTTATAAATATGCACCAGGTACCAGGTTGTTATTTAAATTCAAAGAATTATTTTAGTATATGTGATGTGGAAGGTGTACAAGAGCTTATGTATGTGTGCAGACCATACCTATAAATACGGATATTCACATACATGCATACAACAAACATGCACATTATGGATGTGTAAAGCCATGCGGGGGATAATTTCATAAAACCGACCGAGTAATAAAGTTTTCCAGTTGCTGCACTTTATGGCTTTCACAAAGACGAAAACAAGCATTTAACGGAACATTTGCAACAATTGTTGTTATTACACAAAATCTAACAAAACATATTGAACACGGTAAATTTAATCGCCTTTGCATTCGCATTTGATTAGCATGCAAAATCGAATATGCTGCAAGTAGAAGCTTCGCCATTCATTGAGCTCATTTTAAATGTAACACCAGATTTCGAACAGAAATATTAAATTTCGGTAATTTGCTTAGCATTTGATTATCAAAAATTGTTGCAAGAATCATGTTCATATTTGTAACCAATTGCTAAAGAGGAACACGAAGTGCCACCACCGAATATTTCCATCAACAGACCGTCATCTGCTCAGCGTCAATAGTTGCGTTGTTGTTTTTGTATGCAAATTACGACATTCGCGTCCAAGTTTAGCAAATCCAAAGTGATATTTTATTCAGCATAATTTCGGCACTGTACAAGCCTTCCTGCCACATCTGGCTTTGTGCTTACCGCTTGACCAGCTGGCCGATTAGTTGTCTGAGTTGTAGGAAAATGCAAATCGCGACGCGTCGGTCCGTCAAATCAAAATGTCCATAATTCGAGACATGAAATTCAAATTCAAAAGGCAATCGTGAATGCCGAATTGCGAACAATTTCAATACTCATTATGTAAACAACAGTCAGACGCTAGCGACAACAACAATAAACACAGTGCCGCAGCGGCGTCACGTCACAAATTGGTGGCCAGCAGCTGGTGGTGGCAAGTTGCCGTTTGGACTCACACACATACGGTTATGAAATAGCGGTGTTTATGTCAGTATATGGTATATTTTCTACCGCATATGTACTATATTCTTTGGCAGACATTTGATTACCTCACTCAGAGAAAAACTTTTGTAATTTACTTTAACTGGCGCTGACGCTGGCTGCCGGGTGGCTTGGACGCTTGGCACGCGAACACATTGCTAATTTATCACGCCCCAACTATTTCAGGGCTAATATAGGCAAAGTTCACTTGGGTTGTGTTTCTTGTTACGAATTACCAAATTGCCAAATCTGTTAAGATTTGAAGAAAAGGTGTTATATACACAGAGAATGTTTGACAGAATCTGTGCGGATTCCCACAAATTCCAGCGCAAGCTGGCTGTTGAAAATGAAAGCGTTGATATTTACTAAATTTGTGTGGAAAAGTGCTTTCCAAAATAAACACTCAGGAATTTAATTTAAATTAAAATGAAAAGGAGATGTTTACTTTCAAATTGCCAATTGATTATGATTAATTATAATTACTTGCGAGGAACCGAAATGCTCAAAAATTCCCTCCCTCCTTGCTTCTGCCATATTTTTGACTTTTTATTTATTTTATTGCGTATTGAAATCGCAGTTTGGTTTTATTTGAATGCCAACATTTTTTGTTAAATTAGCGTTTTTTGTGCATAAGCAAAAATAAATAAAGAATGTTTTTCTTCTTTCACTCTGCGGAGTGTGTGTGTGTGTGTGTATGCACTCCTCCACGTTGCTTTGTGTGCTGGTGTTCAATTTTGTTAATTTTGCGTTCGCAAATAAGTATTTAATGGGCAATTAAAATGGAGCAAATGTTTACCTAAAAATAACCTAAAAAAGAAGAAAGAACTCGGCGGCATGCGTCCCTGGAATCACGTAATGCGTTTTTGCACAAACTGCTCAAGTGCTTGGCCAAATATTTGGTTTAAATATACATTTTTTACGAGAGTGAACTTAAAACACTACAAATAAAAATACAAATGAATTTTATACAGTGGTGGCCAAAACATATGCAGCCAGAAGACGTTCAACTGTTTAAACATTAAAGAAATTTGCGGTTAAATTTGCATTATTTTAGGGCAAACTTTTCTTCGTATGAGTTTTATAACTCAATGACAAGAAAATCATTATAAATGGAAAAACTCACAGTTTCTCTTCTCCCTTTTTTAGGCTAGGTTCAGTAGTATGGTGGACAAGCGTACGGAAATCCACTTACCGGAAGCAAATGAAAAGGCTTCAGAGGCTTGCTGTGTAACGGGAGCTTTAAAGAGCTAAATGCTAAAATGCTTTAACATTAGCTCTTAAACTGGCACTAAAACTGCGCAGAAAATTCCGGGGGACGACGACTGACTGCAGGAGAATTTACATATAGAACCTTCGGGCATAGCTCGGTGGATAATATCGGTTGGGTAAACACCGTCTAAATTCATCTTTTCAACTAGGAAAGAAGGTTCAAAGTAAGCATAGAAAGGTGGTTGTCGTAAAGGAATGTTAGCTACAAGCAACACTCCAAACATCTATGAGGATGGCTCAAAAATTACCGATGGAGTTGAAGCGGGAATATACTGTGCAGAGTTAGGCATAATCCAACCTTTCAAGTCTTAGAGCTGGTTTCTAATGCCTCTGCATTCAATTTCAAGGTCAAAATCTACGTAGGCAGCCAACCAGCTATCAAGGCGGTAACATAGTATCGCATATCGGCCAGAAGCGTCTTCGGATCCAGTGGAGCAGTGGAAAGGTTTGGCAAGCATCGAGGGCAAAGAAATAGTGGACGAGATTGCCAAGAACATCTGAAACGTGGTCACAAGACCGCAGTAGAAGACTAACAGATCGAGAAAACTGCAAGAAATGTCAATAGCAGGGTACCAGGAAAACAATGAAACATCTCTTGTGCAGTTGTTCCGCATAGGCAAGACTGCGCCGTAAGCATCTGGGGTCCGCACGGTATGATACATTAGAGGAGGTTTAGATAGTGAGGCCGCAAAGTCTGTTAAAATTCGCGTCAAGCATTGGCATCCTAAACTATGACTACTCCTCTTGGACTTAGCAAGTGAATTCCATCTGGTAGCGCAAAGGACCGAAACTGGTCTATGCATGACTTATTGGTCTACCAGATAAACTTAACATAACCTATCTTAGGTTAGGTTTACAAAACATCGTAAGGGATTTTTTGTACAAAATCTAGGAAACGAGATGAAAAGGAAAAAAAAGTAGAAAACTGTAAGACGGTGTTTGCCCTTCATTTCCATTCTGTCTTCAGAGACTGCGCACACGCCAAACTTCGGAAGATAATCTCAGCCACTCACCTTACCGGCTCACACATTCTAAGTTTCCGTATTTTACTGCTCACACACCTTTCCAGTTATGAGAAACGGATAATATAAAAATGTGAATCTAATTTTTCTAGTTTTCAATATGGACCAAAGCCAGTAAATGGGGTTAAACAAAGTCAAATTACATCATCCAACAAAAACATTAATATACTCAACGAATCTTTACAATTTAAACCTGGAATTAATACAACAAAGGAGATTGCATTGAATTGAAATCAGTGAAAGTATAAGAAGTAGCTCAATGGACGGGCGCAACAACCCAAGGGTATTAAGCACACTAGATGAACTCCGAGTAAAATAAACACACACACTCATTTATAGGTGCAAAGTTTTAATAAAAGCGTCAGGCTTCCGCTGTCGCGGGTGAGCCGCGCGTGCATTTGGAATTGAGCACCACGCACACACTCAGACACATACGGACAAATATAGAATATACACAAAAGATGCAAGCAAGCATACAGCTGTTGTGCCCCTTTGACACGGGTGCGGCATGCATGCGTGGCATAGTCGAGTATTGAACGCCTGTCGGGCTTATTGAAAAGAGGTCAAGAAAATCGTAGCAAGACGAAGTTGAAAACTTGCGTAAATCATTTTACAGCATTCGCTAATGACGTGCTGCTCAACTTCCATAATAGAAAAGCAGGCGATGGACATGGAAGATATTGGAAATTCTGAGCAAAAGAAGTTGGTAGTGAAAAATCATAAAGTTAAATGAAAACCTTGTATAAATATGCATTGGCGCAGTGTAAAAATACAAGTATTGGCAAGTCTTATACTCACAGTAAAAGTTCCTTAAAAACTATGTGCTTGGCGAGTCGGCCTCCTCCGCTGGCGATGCTATATTGCTGTCCGATGTTGAGAGTGGTCTGCAAATGCCCAATTTGGTTTTCCCCACTGGCATGCCTTTGAGTATCGCTACTGCCTCGTCCAAATCGAGTCCGTGCAGTGTGTGTTCGCCGACGCTGACCAATCGATCTCCGGGAAATATCTCGTTGGTCGCTTCTGCTGCGCCACCACGTATTAGACCACGTATCACAATTACCGTACCTTCGGCATCCATCGGATCCTGGTAGTCAAGTATAGAGAAACCGAAACCTTGTTCGGTTTTTTCGATTTCGATGGTAGTGACGTCGCTGCTCCAAAGCGCCAGACCCGAAACGTTCTCCAATGATTTGGAACGTTGCTGGTCGGTCAGCGTGGCAGTGCTTGATGTGTATAGAGAACTCTCCGATTGTGCTTTGGTTAGCAGATTTTGCAGGCTCTGATGACCACCTGGTAGTAGAGAGCGTGTTTCGAAAGCCTCTGGATTTTGCGATGTGTTTATTACGGATGGTGCGGTGGGTCCCCGCGCGCATACCAGCTTTACGTGTGTTGGCAGTTCTTTCAGTATTTTAACTACTTCAGTGTGCTTAAGGCCTTGCAATTTATATTCGTTTACTTGTAGTAGCTCGTCTCCCGGTTTGAGTATGCCTTGTCGCCCCACAGGCCCATCTTCCAGGATAGAGCGTATGTAATGATGTGGACGCTTTTCAATGCCGCCTTCGACATCCACGGTGCCCTCCAGGCTGATCCCTAGACCTGAAAGTTTATTTATTTCGGCTACAATAATTTCACTTTCAGGAAACTCACTTTTCCAGGTCAGCTTCAGCGTCTCCACATTGGGCGGGGCTAAGGTTGAAGCGGCGGGCTTGGCGGCTAACGTTGTTGCCGTTATTGTTGTCGTTGCTGCCACCGCAGGCACTGTTAATGTTGTAGTCACCGTCACCGCCGTTTTTGTTGCCGGCACCGCTGCAGTTGTTGCAGTCACTGAGCTAACAGATTTCTTACGACCACCATTTGGCTGTTTCACCGATGACTCCGGTATTGTAGACGCCTGCCATTCGGTAGACTGCATTTGAACCGCCAGCGTTGCTGAGTCGTGATCATCACTGTCATTGTCATGGCTTCCATTGATATGCGTTGCTTTGCCGTTGGCTAAGTGTTTAGCCGTGGGCGTTGTGGGCGTCTTTTGCCGTTTGGCACTGCTAATGCCGCTGTGATCGCTGCGATCGAGCATGTAAGACATATTAGAGTCGACAGTTTCACGTGATGGGAAGTCGGAAAACTCCAGCATAACAATACCGCCTTCCGTGGCCACAGAATCGGCATCGGAACGTGGTGGCAGCCAAGAAAGTGTTGCAATCGAAGGTGATGCGGGCAGTGAACTCTGTGATTGCGTGTCTCCTTTCAATTCCGTGAGTGCATTTTGCAAATGTTCATACTTGCGTCCACGCAAGAAGCGTTCCAGTGTCAGGTGGACTTCGATGTCAGTATTACGGAGTATCTCCACCGCTTGATGGTTAGTAACGCCCGCGAGTGAACGGCCGTCTACAGCAACGATACGATCGTTGATCTGTATGCGCTCACTCACTTCTGCGGCACTGCCTTCTATAATACTTTTCACAAATATTCCCGAAAGGTCCTCCTCTTCACAAACATAACCGGCTACAGTGATGCCAAGACCGTAGACATTCTTATGCAACTCTACCTCATATGTTTCTGTCTCGGGTGAATCGATGTAATTCGATGAAGCCGTGGAGCAGCGATCGGCATCAATATGCGCTGCATCCGGTGCATTCGTTGAGGTGCCGGCATCTACGCCAGCTATCACAGTCTCAATTTGTTCCAACTGAGTGGTTTTTGAGTAATTTATGATGGTGCTGCTTGTGTTGGTGGTGGTAATGTCAAATTGCTGCTGGTGTAGTGAACTCAATGTAACCGATGTGCCGAGTGTCGTTGCTATTGTGTTTGGCGGGGATGGTAGAGGCAATAGGGGTGGCGGTGACGGTGATACAATCGAGAACGGTACGATGTCCAAGTCCTTGGGACATGCGCGCGCCGCTGCGGATGCAGATAATGGTAAATCAGTTGGTATGGGTGGCAGTGGCAAATCGGCTAGTTCAGTGTCCGGCGTTGGTAGGAAGCAGCTGCCGCCCATGCCGCTGCCGCCGCCAACTCCAACGCCTGTAGCACTAGTAGCAAAGCTGGGATTTTGAAAGAGATGCCGCGACAGTTCTTCTGGGTCGGAGAGGAGCTTAGTTGGAATAATTGGCGCATGACTGGCCAACGTTTGTAAATCGATGGCTGTCGGCTCCACAGGCCTCGCTACAATCAGTCGAACCTGAGCTCCAGTCTGACGAAGAACCGTTGCTACTTGCTCGGAACTGAAGCCACGCAAGTTCACATCGCCAATTTGCAACAAATGATCACCACATTGCAAACGACCATCACGTTCCGCAATGCCGCCGGGAGTCAATGCCTTTATAACAACACCAGTGCTGCGTCCACCGACCAATATGAAGCCCAAGCCATTACCATCATTTACCAGATCGATAACTTCCACCTGAGACCATTCAGTACTCAAGACCATTATGCCGTTATTAGAACTGTTAACTTCGTCTTGTTCTTGGTCGTCGTACTCGTCGGTTGTGTCGCAGAATCTGCAAGTTCTATTGGTGCCTGCTTGCTTGATGTAGAGCAACGACGGCGCCCTCTTATACGCGGACGCCTTTGTCGTTCCTGTTGATGTCGTTGCGAGCCGTGGGCAACTGCTGTTGCAGCTAACATGACTTGCGACTGGCGACACTGCCAGCGTCAGTGAGAAGTTGTGCGGATACGGTTGCCACTGTGTTGGCGACGAACAACACTGCGACAACGACGACGAACGAAGTGGCGGCACTGGCGGGGGCGACGATGTACGTCCTAATGCTATGGAATGCGTCGATGCTGACAACGGCGGAGGTGGCAGCGCCTTAAAGACGATAGTGCATTGGCTGCAAGACGTCGAAGGGGAACTATGGGAAGTGGAGGAAAAACAGGACGAGAGGCGCACGGGCGATATGGGTGTTAAGAGTGGCGATTTTTGCGAATCTGCTATTACACAATTTTCTAGTTGTTGCTGCAGTTCACACCTCTTTAACAGCACGTTTGCCTCGGCGCTATTCCTGGCTACACCGTCGACTCCGCTATCTCGGCTCCGGCAACTGTCTATTACGTGTCGCGTGCGTCAAATGCCGTTGCTGTGCACAGCGTCAACGTTGACGTCAGCGTCGAAAAATCGATGCTTTTCTAGGTTATCAATCGCAAAGTGTGGGTGATTGTCGTTCCGCGGGCGATTGTGTATGTGACAGCTGTGGCGCAGAATGCCCGCCGGATGTTGTGTATTGCAGCCGTCACTCGTCGTGTTGCAGCGTTTATTAATGTCGTTTGTGCTGCTATTTTTACAACAACTATCGCTGTTATTCTTCAGTTGCCTGCTTAGATGATTGTTCGCGCTATTTTTGCGCGTGTTGTCGCTGTCGATGCTGCTGTTGTTGCTTAAAGTTTGACACCCATCCCTTGCAGCATGTGTAACGTGCATAGTAACCACAACAATGTGAACCGACAAGCGTTGTTGGCGTCAATTGCCTCGGCGCACTAACTGAACTGGGGCAACGGGCGCCTGCGACACTAACTTTTAAATTACGTTACGAGTACCGCACGGGGTGCCGTTCGCGACACTGCGCTTGTGGCCACTGTGCTCTTATATAAGTACTTTTATTATAATGGACCAACACCAAATTGCGGCACTTTAACTCATTTGCACAAATGTTCGCGTTGACATCCTCGGTGGATCTTGCTCCGAACGTTGCGGTAAATGGCATTACCACGAGTGCGCCTGCTACAAAAAATGCACGAATTGATAGTCAACGATACTCTTCGTTGGGTTTTTATTGAGTTACGCCGTTACACAACGGCGGTGCGCGAGCTGGCTGGCTGAGTGGCTTTGTTGGTTGGCGTTTGTCGCGCCGCAACGAACTCATTACGCACAAAGGACACCTTCAACTTCGCGTGAGCGCAACTACATAAATGCGTGACTTTCATGAAACCTTTCGAATGTGCAACGTGGTTAATTTCTTACGTGCGTCTATGAGCAGCACGGCATACGCGCGGCAATGGGAGCGTAACGTGTATTGTGGTAAGTGAGTGAGTGCGGCGTGGCATATTTGCAAGCAACGGCAATTGTGGTGAGAAGAGCTCGCGAAGTATCGTGGCGCCATATCATTAAATTGCTATAGCTTGCAACATGCCGCAGAAAACCACGTTGCAGATATGTGCCGCGCTTTTCGACACGTTTTATTCGAGCGACTTGATATTTGCCTATGCAGACCACGATAAAAAGACTTGTGGGTGTGTGTGAGTGCGCTAATTTGCTGATATGTGCGTATGCCTTAGTGTCTGGTTTTTTCATTTATCCTGCCTGTCGTCAGTTGAGTGCAGACGGCGATGATGCTTGTTTAACTAATTTTGTAGCTCATTTGATCATTATGCGCTTTAATTATGTGGTTAACAACTGGCGGCGTGCCGCCTGCATCATAGCCAGGTTGGGTCTTTTTGTCTGTCATAAGCGCGCTAGCTGGCTGTTGTGCGAGTATGAAATCGAATTAATTAAGGTCTAGGCTTGCATGAGACTACAAGCGAGCTTTTCTCGTCAAGATTTTTCTGATAAATATTTTAAACAAAGCTGAAGCAGTATATCATTACTCCAACGAACTTATGGAAAGGTATCCACTGTGGGTAACTATACATCCAGACTAGCTTAGTGTCTTTCTGGCAAGTGTGGCCGGCGCTAAGGAAGCAGTAAATACTTTAGAGATGTTATTATTTACCGAGATAATTTCTGCTAAACTGGAAGGAACGAGTAGAGTTAGGGTTAGAGTCTCCTCGCTCGCTGGACATATATTAGATATGTCAGGGCCTATTCTGGATAAGTAAGAGTTTAATCTGCTACTGTATTCAGAACGAAGCTGCGCAAGGGTCACTCTTGTTTCTCGCGGCAACTCGAGTTCTTCGTCTGGTTTGACTCCAAATATGCCATTCACTGGGGAGAAGTCGTTGAATATGTTGACGGCTCCACCTCTTGATACTCCTAAGAGGTGGTTCCTTTCCAAGCAAGTGGCTGCAAGGATGGTTTCAGCGAAAGGACCCCAGTAGAAATTGCTTAGAGAGGAGTTCATTATGCTCCTCCTCGACAATTCCCACAACGGCCGGTTCTACGCACCGAAATCGACGCGGTCTGTATACTACCGAGTGCTGTTAATTCGGAGATCTAATCCTATTTAGATCGGTAAGTCTTCGCGCCAATCTGCTCATTGGGTAGATTCGTGGTGACTGTAATTTAAACCTAAAGACAGGTAGAATTTTCATTTTAGGTCAGTGTGAAGTCGCACTGGGGCCGGGTGCCCACAACAAGACAGTGGTTTTAGGTCGGCCTCGAACCCGAACAAGGTGGAAAGGTTGTCCCTTCCATTTGACCATTTGGGACGCTGACCAACGCATTGTTTAGATCTATACGTTTTTCGTCATAGGTGTTCACGAAAAGACACTACGTAGACCGGATTCTATACAATATCAAGGCTAGACATCCTGGCATCTAACTCTTAAACAGATGGGACCTGAGACCTACTTAAAGGAATTTTTCTCTCTACAAAAGTATATTTATAGCAATTTAAGTGTGGGCCACATCAAGGGTAACTCGTAGAAACTAACCGAAGTAACTCTAAGTAATGAATAATCGGATTCTGCGCTTCGTGGGACACGTTTACTTAGTGCTGGGTACTAATCAGATTATGCCTTAGCACTTAACTGAACTTCGGGTGCATTATTTCTGAGTAGAAAAATGAATGGATGGAAAAATACAAAGCAAAAACACTAAGCTTAAAATATTGCCATTTTTTCACAAAGTTTGCTTTTGTAAGTAAGAGTCTTTATCCCATGACGCTTTTTCATACAAAAGTATCAGCTTGACTACATACTTTCCAACTTTTACGCATCGCGGAACTCTTCACCCACAAATTGCAGCTAATTTAAAACTTCTCTTTGGTCTGCAGCACCCCGTTCCCCTCTTATCCAATTGGAACTTTAAATGAAAAAGGCTTCGTGCCACCGCGGCAGCCTGACATAAAAAGACGTGCATTTATGAGCCGCATTTGTTATGCTAAAGACGGTAGACTAAAAAACGTTGGATAATTTTAGCAAAGCCATAATTCTTAGTTAAATGCAATTACAGTATGATAAAAGGCTACAGAAAAGTTGAAAAAAAGTGTGGGAGTTCATCACTTGGCTTTTATTAGGGAAATTATTTAAATATTCACTTTTAAATTATTTTTGATGGGAAAATATTTTTGGTAAAGATTTGAAATGTGCTTTGTGTTTTAATCTTTCTTTTAGTGCTTTACATGACCTGTTTGGAAACGAGAAGACCCCTTTAACTGAAGAATATCTTGTGAAGCTGATATTGGATATAAGAGAAGAAAAGCAAATCTAAGGACTTAAAGGCACATAACCACAATATCCTAACCCTGCTATACCCATAATCCAATTAATCACTTTGTAAAAAATTATAAAATTTTACTGCAAATACGAATATTAACAGCCTCCCACTTATTGCATGCTAAGTGTTGCTTTTAGAGTATATTTTTGTCATCCTAAGCTGTATTTGAAATGTCAACGCGCGCGAGTAACTAAATGCCAGTGGGAAAGACACAAGAATCGATAGAGGCCATAAGCAACAGTTTTGCAAACACACAGACCGATTTTACTGAAGGGAGTTTCTGCCAAAGCAACAGCTCAACTGCCAAACAAAGCCAAATTCGGAGAGAAATACAAATGCGATCAATGAATGGCACAATGAAAAATGCGAAAATGCAAAAAACATGTATATTTGTGTTGCCGTTTTCGAGCTGTACTAATTTCTATCTTATGGGGACGGCAGGAGGTCTCGCATAGTAAAACACATAGTACATGCTAACATGTGTGTGTGTGTGCGTGTGTGTTTGTGTTGCGAGTTGAGTGTGTGTCGGCTGTTGCCTTTTCAAGCTTGGATGGCGACTTTTTTATGATCTACAGTCGACACTGACTTTCGCTGACTCGCACTTTGGCCTCCGCATGCTACGGTCTCTCGTTGGTTGCTCATACGCCATGTTGTGCCAAATTAATATATTCTAGCACACAGCGTTTCCTTTTCATTATTCCGACACTTCTGCTTGTTTTGCATACAATTTTGGAAATTTATGTGCCTACGTGAGTATGTATGAATGTATGTGTATGCCGCTGGTGAGCCTTCTTTTTGTTTTGGGTGTGCGCTGATTTGGAGCTCGCCATGAACCTTGTCTCGTGAATTATTCAAGTCTTATTATTGTCTTTGTGGGGCTTTGTGAAACATTATTGCGGTCACTTTCACTTTTCATAATGCCTGGAATTTTTTCTTCATAGCCACATAGTCGAACATATGGTACACCGACATACATGCTCAAAATATGTGTGTTTGTGTGTGTGTGTGTGTGTTCATAAAGAGTTGAAAGTTGTCGCTGGCGCTGCCAATGACCTGGTACACATGGCCATACCAACAAAGCGCACCAATTTGTTTGTGAATCCACAAACTTCACGCACACGAGCGCTCGCCTGGCAGTGTGTAATTGTTTTGTGTGCATGTGAGTGTGTGCGTATGTTTGTGTAGTTTAATTAGACGCTGAAAGTGAGTTTGTTGCTTCGTATTTGCCCACGCAAGACTTCATGCGACAACTTCACCTCAATTGAATTATTATTTAGTAACGACCAACGCAACACCGCACCCCGCCACACAGCTCAGTTCAGCCCGGTTCGCACCGCTTATATTGATTTAACAATTTAAGCTACGACATTCCGCACGAATCACTCACATTTTCACAAAAGCCATTTTTCACTTGGCATACCGTGTGAATTCGCACCAAACACTTAAGGATTTTCAGCACTTCTTCTTTAATCTCTTAAAAAATTTTCTTTCGATTTTATTTCTTTTCACTTTTTATGTAATTTTTCACACGAATTTCCAAATAAATGCTCGCACTTCGTTCGCCACAAGTCACTAAAGTCCTACCGTTATGTATGTTTCTGAAGCAGAAAGTGTTATAAAAAATCTTCCTGTCTTTTCTTCTTAATTTGTTGGTGAACGCGCGCGATTTCACCAGCAGCACCTTCACGCTACGAGTCTTCTCGGCCGATTGAAGTAGCGCTCGCCTCCGTTAGCTGCCAGGCGCTGTCGCTCTCTTGTGTTCCACATACGCATTGTGGACACTCAGCGCCACTATTGTTAACCGCATTGTTGTTTTCCAGCCTACCCTTCGACGCTCTCCCAACAACCACCGTATCCGCCAAGAAACAGAGTCCAAGTTCATGTTTGCGCAAACTCCAATGGGAGCACACTCTCGCTCTCAGGTGTATAGTTTTCAACAGGCAATATTTACACATGAAGTTGGTCGCGGTTGGACAACAGCTAAAACCGCTGTTTCTAGCTAATTTGAAACTCATTTTTATATGAATTTCGTTAGTTGCGCTTATTGAATTTAAGTAAAACTGAATGGAATGTTATATCGCAAGTGGTCTTTGGGAACAAATAAGTTCTTCAGAGCTCTGATTTCCAATTAACGCTTCGATTTAACGCCAAAATGTGACCTTGCCTTAAAATACTTTTTCAATCAACTTTCTTCATTAAGTGATGTGATTAATTAGCAAGAGGAAATCAATTATTGCGGTATAAATATGCTGACAATACCGGCCAATCACTTTTTTGTTTCAAATCAATTATCAATCAAGGCTGAATGGTTACCATAGTTGAATGCTTAGTGCACACGTAGATGATCTAAACGATCCAAACAGTAATTAATTATCGAGTAAGGAGCTCCTGAAGAGCTAGCTAGTCGCGTTAACTACACTAGAAAATTTCATGGCACAATTAAACAATGTAATAGCGTAGAACACTTTATAACTGATGTTATGGAAAATAAAAAGTACTGCTCTGATGTGTTCCTTGATGTCAGCCAAGCATTTGACAAAGTCTGGCAGCTAGGCCTATGAAATTAAGGCACCTTATTATTTGCTGCTAAAGTCTTACTTGCACAATCGGACGTTCTGCGTTAGATCTCGTGATGCTACGTCGGATTTGAGACCTGTCTGTGCTGCCGTGCCCCAAGKCAGTGTACTCGCCCTTGTGTTCTACATTCTTTACACAGCAGACCTTCCAGTGGTCAGCTCTGACTCCACAATTACGGCAACTTATGCTGATGATACAGCACTCTTAGCATCAAGTGGCAACCCTAATACTGCTACTAAATAATAATGATAATAAAATGAAAAAATTGCCCTCAAGTGGTTTCATATGGTCAGTTGTTACCAACAAACACATGCGCAAAATATTTGGGGAACTCTAGCGAATCAACTCATCAAATTAGATTGAATGATTATCGAAAAAAGACCGGAAATAGTAGCTAGACCAGATACAGTAATTTTCTTTCAGGTTAACGCTAGGCCTCATGTTGCAAGCCCATTGCTCTTGAGAAAACAGCCGTTAAGAAGTTTTAGACTCACTTGCTTTTTGAACCGGCCCTGCCCCTTCTAACTATCATCTGTTCTGGTCGATGCAGACACCTTCACTGGTTCAACATGCGATTCACATTAGAACAGTTTTGATTCAATTTTGACCGCCAAGGTTTTGTATCAACAACGTTATTGTCACAGTATTGAAACCTTCTTCGGGCTTAGATTGCAGTAAATTGTTATGATTGTTTCATGACATTGTTTACTGAGCAATGCGCAAGTGCAAAGCGTTGCCCAGACAACAAGTGAACACATCCATACATATACATATGCAGTACATATCCTGTGCTGTTCAATATTTTGGTAAACATTAATTTATCAAACTTAGGGTTTCTATATTTTTATTATATACATACGCATATGTGCATACATAAAAGAGCATATGTTTATATGTACAAACTTCTATTTGTAAGAAATACTTGTATATAAGTATGTAGGTATAAACATATATACATGCCATGTACCTACATACTATTATATATACTTCGCTTCACACTTATTTATTGACAGTCGTCGATACAAAATCGAACAACTACTGAATGTATATGTACATATGTAAGACTGTATACGTATGTACATATACATATAATAATTACACTCTTTTGATTGTTCCGCACAATCATATTTACCGTACCTGTTATACCAATAAGTTTGGTGGTGGTAGCTTTGTATGTGGTTGGAAAACAACAAAAAAGATCACCTGTTTTAACCACCACGAAACTGCAACGGACCTCAAAACTAAAATAAAGAACCATTATTATTATTACGCTAACCTACATCACGCCTTCAACGATTCGCTAGTAACACCGTTAGTCAGCCACTTACTTTTAGCAGTGACAGGTTCGAATGCTTTTGTTTACACGCCGGCCACTTCAATACACACACGCACGTAAGCAAAGCAGAATAAAAATACATACTTTCAAATCCACTTTTGAAATTCACAATGTAAAAAATGTCAAGAATATTATTAATAATCACAAAAAAATTGCCATTTGCACTTGTGCTCAAACATTTTTCTAATTTGCCAGCAGCCGACACTTCAAAGACTGACACTTTTTGTTTACTTAATTTAAACAAATAAACAGCGAAAATATTGACAAATTGAGTACTTTTAAATTAAGCAACCATGTCGGATGAATTGAATTCTGATGAAGACCCATACGCGAACGAGTCTTTCGAAAACGACACGGATGAGATACCTGAAATATCGGAAACGGACAGTGATAGTGAAATAGAACCTGACACGGTACCATCTAACAGCTCGGTAAGCTCAGAATCCTAGCACTCTATAACTCCAACATGACACTTGAATTATTGCAGCTCTATGCTTACGCAAGAAGCCGTTTTAGTGGACGCAAGGGCTCGTTGCAAAATAAGAATTACGTACCCTACGATAGTTCCTCCGAAGACGATCAAGATGTTGTAATTAGTGAGACTATCGCCGAAATTAACACTGAACCCATGTGTATGGACGAAGCTATCGAAACGCCAAAAATTTCTTTTAAGGCAGCGCTGACTCGGCGTAGCTCCTCGGCGAGAATGATTGGAAACAAACGAATGCTTGTTGAACCGCTTTCTATTGTGGAAATACCAAATACTGCTCCTACCGTCAGCGATGATGTGAGCAATGGCGACGTCTCGGACTGTCTCGACTCGAATGTCGATGAAGAAGCGACAGCTGAAGTGATTACGGAAAATGAAACCGAGGTACTTCACAAATTGAAAGAGTTAAGTTGTATTCAAGATGAGTCAAGTCAGGAAGAGGATGATGTATTGTTGGCGTGCAATACCCCGCAACCGTATGACGTACCTCCTAACCATGGTTCGCACAAAGAGATAGATGTGCACGTGAATTCGTTTGACATATCATCAGGAGAGAAATTGAGAGAAAATATGAATAACTTTGCGGATATTGCTATCGTTAGTGATGGTCCGCCAAAGGAAAATGATAATGAGCTTGCGGAATATGAGCCAAGTATTGATGTACATATTACTAGCGAAACACCTACTAGTTTTAATTCAGAGGAGTATGCCTTCCATTTGAACTTCTTGAAGACGTGTGGATCAAGTGATAAACTGAGGTTAGCAATAATAGGTAGTACTCTAAGTAATTTTCCCTTTAATTACTTATGAATTGTAGAATGCGGTCCAATCCCCGCAAAAGTTGGAGCTTCTCTAACGATCGCATGCGGGAAATTGAGCGGCACAACCATATCTTGCTACGAAAAATACTCTCACAGAAGCCGACATACCATTTAGCCACACCAAAACCTACTAAAGTGAGTATTATTTATATTTTATATAGAGAAAATTAGTAAATGCCTTGATTAATTGTGGAATCCTTAGTTCGCCACATTACCTCCAACGACACGTATAACCAGCGCAGCGATAAACCGAAAGAAGAAGCAACGACAAATCGATTTGGATAATCAAGGACTCAAGCGGCGCATCGAAGCTATAACTCTTCGACGTCCCACGCTGCAACATTTAAATTAATAACAAATGTTAATTTTTGATTTTTTTACCATACGAATTTCATTTATTAATTGAAACTAAATGTTGAACAGTGTATACCAATAAATATATTTTGGCCATTTAAACATTTGTAAAATACCTTTGTATTATAGAAGTCAATTGCATAAAAATTTAAAAAAAAAAAAAAAATACTACTAATAATAAATTAAGCTATAACCGCGTAAGCGGTGTCTACGCAAATAAAGAAGAATTTAGTTATAAAAGTGTGTAAAATTTAGTAAAAAGTGTTAATTGTAATACTTCAACTGTTACTCTATTGTTTTAGCCACTTGCTTTCCCGAATCGGCCAAGGCAATCTCTTCAGCTTTATTTAAAAAGGTTTCACCCAACGCCTTAATAGCTTTGAATGCTGCTTCACCATTTTTCTCTTTGAATTCCACTTCGTTTTTGAGCTTTATCTGTTCACGTTTCTCCAATTCTCGATAAATAACTTGTCCAATCTAAATAAAGCGTAAAATATGTCCATAGAAGAATTGATATTTAACTTGATTTACTTACGTAGACATCGATAGCTGCATACAGAAGTTGGTTTTCATCCAGTGGTATGACATGCCATTTACTCATGCGTACTTTTTTGTTTTTGTCTACAGTTTGCTCTACCTAATTGCAGAAAAAAAGTAGATATTAGTAAAACCTTGTTAAGTTTTGCCTCTGAAAAATTAACTATAACACACAACATAATTTGCCAAGCGGTCTAAGCTCCAACGTCCACTAGTTTGACACACTTGGTTACACCAAACACCCAAGTCTACACACTTTTCAATAAGATGATCTGCGTTTACTTCTGGGAAATCACGAGCCAGCTTGCGAAAATCACTGAATCCAAATATAATTGAAATGAGATGACGAATTTGACACATTTATATTCATAAAAGATGACCTCATACTTTTTTATGTTTACACCATGTAGTCGAACTTTTGGATGCTTTAGCAGTGCTACCAGCGCAGCAGGCAGGCGTTTCAAATTGGTCAATTGAAATATGTAACAGCAGTGCTCCTCGACACATATTTGTATAACGGCAGATTTGCCCGGTCCAGTTTGAAAAGAAAATGGCCATTCCATGTCAAACGCCATTGGCACCAATTCAGTATGCACTTGCTTTTCTACCCACTGACTGTAAAATATATTTTATTACAAATAATATAAGGAACAAATGCAGTATAACATCCAATTGCTTACAAGATTAGGTCTGACGCTTCAGCTATTTCATGTCCTTCTGTATGGTATTTAATAGTGCCCTTGTACTTTATAAACGGAAGTTTGCGCTTAATTTCTATTTCTTCCGGAATTACAATGTCATCTTCAGCCATCGAGCGTGTGTTACGCGTCAAACGTGCACTACGGCGTTTCGGCGGATTGTCATCCAGGTCAGTATTTTCTTTGTCCTTTGCTGGAAATGCCGCGTTCTGAAAGTGCAACGCCACTTGTAAAAAAAAAAAGGCGGCAACCTTTTAAATAGCAAATAAAGTTTACCTCTTCTGTACTTCTTTTTCTACGCTGTCTTATCATTTTACTAAATATGCTATACAAATTAGGTACTTCTGTTATTTACTTCCGTCCTATTGTAAAATTGAAGCGGCGTATAAATGCTAACTTTTATATTGACAAACACAGGTGCTGATTGAAGATGAACCATTTTCGCGCGCAAATTTATGCAGTGTTGACGGATCAACATTTTTGTAAATATTTCCATGCATCTTAACTACACATAATAAATATGAACAAATATCAAAACATTACGCAGTTTTAAAGCAGCTAGAAATGGTTAATAATACTAATTAGGATAATAGGTAAAAATTTAAAAGAATTAAGTGAAAATTTACAAGTTTAGCTACACCAGCAATGGGAACAGTTTTACAAAACAAAATATTTGTGTCACCCTTTGTACAAACAGCTGTTTCGCTGTCACCGAATTAACCTCAATAAAATTAAACCGGTCTGTCCAATTTGAAGAATATTGTTGTATTAAGAACTCAGATTTAAATTAATTTATTAATATATAAATATCGCAATGGACACAAGAATGAATACATTTTTTGTTTCGGAAAAAATATCTAAAATACGCTGGCTTCCAGATAATTTGCAAGCAAGCGAACGTTTTCTGACCGGCAGCTGGGATATGCCTTCAAATTTTGTGCGTTTGTGGCGTTTACAGCAGAATCAATATGCCGATGACTACAATGAATTTGTGCCCCGCTGTAGTGACAAACAATCCTTCAATAGTGACATCACGGGAATCGAATTCATTACGACCGATTTAGCTGTCGTCAGTAGCTCTGATGGTAAGTATATTTATATCTCACTATCCTCTTGACTCTTACAAAATTCTTACCTGCCAGGCTACATAACAATAGTGGAAATTAAGCGTGCGGTTGAAGACGATATTTTGCAACAAAACGACCAAAGTGAGGTTCTGCACAAATTTAACGCAAGTGGAGATGCGGCGCCTTGTACGGGAGTATCGGTATTTGAAAGAGAGATAGCCACAGTTGGCGAAGATGGTCGGTTAAATATTATCAGTGCTAATGATGTCAGTCAAATACGGCGCACTCTTGAAGCTGACAGCATTGCACTAACAGCTGTTAAATATGTCAATCCGAATGAGGTGCTTACTGCAAATCGTATGGGTGTCATACGCATGTTCGATACAAGAGCAACTGATGAAGAAGTAGCTGTTACGGCTTTCATGACATCGTGTGAAGATGAGAGACGGCCGAACTATGTATCTGCACTCACCTCACATCCCACACAACCGCATATCGTACTAGCCGGATCAGAGGAAGGTTCCATAACTGTATGGGATCTTCGTCAACCAGGCTATCCGGCATCCTACTTAAGTGCACACAAGAGCGCCATAACTGAAATCGGGTTTCATCATAGAGAACCTTCGAAACTGTTCACAGCCTCAGAGTGTGGCGAATTATGGTTATGGCAACAGCAATCTAACATGAGCATTACCAATATGGAAAAACCGGTAGCTGAAAATGTTAATCCCTGGCTAAATGGCGAGCGCGCAAAGAATAGTATTAATGTTACATGTTTAATTTCGAATTTGCGAAAATCTATCAACACATTTGACGCAAACGGCTCGAAGCTAATATGCGGTAGTGATAGTGAAGCAATTTATTTAATTGATAATATATACTAATTGTAGTCTTAGAGCTAGTGTACGATATTAAAATTGGTTATTTTTTTAATTTCCTGAATTTCTATCATAAAATCATTGTGGTGATTTATACAAATTATTGCACATGAGTGCGGAAGTGTATAAAAGTCTGGTTGTTGACTTCGCTTATTGCAGACTTCTACCCACAACATTTTCGCTGCAAACGGAAACAAATATTAGTCACAAAGCAAAAGTTTGGTTACAGAGCACAACATTGAAAAGCTTTTCTGTGGCAGATGTGGTTTGAAATTCTTAGCTCGCGTATGTTTTTATAATGTGTATTGCATGTTTGTTATTGTGTTTTTATTATACGGCTTACTAAACCCCTGTTAATTAAAACAGTGTGCCTTGCCTGAAAGTAATCAACAGAGGAACTGGGAAACGGACTTTTGTACATAGTCGATATTTAGAGAATCGGTGTTAGAGAACTATATTTATAGGGAAATGTGGTTAGTATCTTGTGAAAACTCTTTGCCTGCAGGTCCTACTTTGCATGTTGGAATCTAAACTGGAACCAATCTAGGCCACCATGTCATTGTATGCCGTTATGGTCAGTTTGGCCAATGACCAATAAACGAAATCAGTAGAACACGTATGTGTGTGTGTGTATTATGCAAGAATGTGTAATTAAATTACCTGTCACATTAACGCAGCGTCATGGAAACCGTGATAATTCGTTTGTTTGTTTAAATTTTTTACATTTTATAAAAGGTTACATAAAAATAACACTATTTCATTGCATCTGTGGGAGATGCTATCCTGAATATGCTTATAATGATATCTTAATCTTTATTATTTGCACCAAACGCAGAACACTGAAAATGGAATGTGGCGTCAAAGTATTTGTTTTTTTTTAATTCTGTTATTTTTTATATCCTATTATGTTTTTTTTTTTAATTTCAATAATTATCGACATCGGTCCAATATATGTACATAGTCGGGTATTAGGCTTGGAATAACCGATAGAAGGAAGGCTTAAAAGAAATGCAACTTGTAAGTTTATATAAAATGTGATTTTCTTTAATTAAGTGTATACAAAATATTAACAAATATACATAAATATATTCACAGCGACTAAAAGTAGGAAATAAATATGGAAACTTTTAAGTTCTATACTATTGTGAAGTATGGTTTAGAAATGGCATCGTCCTTATGCAACAGGCAGGGCCGGGTGAATGGCTGCGTTATGGCGTTGATCCAGACATTGCCGACTAAAATGATCGCTTTGTAAGATATTAAACTACAAGTGTTATATTCTTGTACTCACTCCACTTAGATCCCTTTAACACCGGGCAGGCTGCGTGTCTCGTACGGTAATCGCCCTCCAAGGATCGGTGTAAATTGTACCAGAACAGCACATTGCCTTTCTTGGGCTTAATGGCGAAATTCAAATTCGGAAAGGCAGTAGCGCCACCCTGTTCGACTTCGGAGAGCTGGAGTTTAGTAAAAATAGTTTTGTTTAAGAATTTACGGGAAAATATTGAACACACACTTACATAAAATATGGCGGTGGCAATGCGATTACCTAGTCCCTCGGGCAGACGTTCGGTGTCCTGAAAGCAAAGCGAAAATAATATAGAAACCCATAGGTGTACTAACTAAATTGCTGCACTTGTGCCACAACTCAATATGGCTATGTGTGTGTGCTTACCAAATAAAAGTCCCAGTGCGGCTCATAGTGGCCGCCCAGTCCGTAGTTGGCGACCTGTAATTTCTCGCAGCGCGTCACATCGAGGCCAGTGAGGTCGTGCAAATCACGCAACATATCCTGCATGTAAGTGTGCTCCTGATAGGCCAGCCACGCGTTCTTGCTGATGCGGAAGTCGGTAGCTTTGGACAGAGTGACCACGTCGCGTACGGTGGAGCGTTGCATGTAGGGCGTGGCCAAGTATTTGATGGTTTCAATCTTGGTGTCGTCGATAAAATCGTGAAGTGTCAACACCAACGGATCCAGGCTGTGCTCCTCCACTTTGAAGGGGGCGATAAAGCGATAAGGATGATTATTGCTTTCGTAATGGCAGCGCAGCGGACGCAATTGCGTGGGCGATGCAGTGATTTCGCCACGACACACTTTCTTATACCTTTCAAATTCCTCGGTTTGCTAAGTGTAGGGAAGCGGAGTGGAGTTTGTGTGTTAAGCTGTAATCCTTTAAATTTAGTTAAAGTTGGTGGACTTACATGGTAGTATGAGGGACTTGTGGTTAGCGTTGGTTTCCGCTCGCCAACCGGACTGAGTATTGTGTTTCTCACATATGAAGCGGTTGCGCGTGTCGGATCAAGGCTCAACACGTCATCTGAGAGCTTAAGTGCGGTTTCTAAGTCGCCTGTGAGGTATCAAAATGGAGTGAGAATATTTTTTCAGAAATGGAAGAGTGTGGTGGAAATAGCTTACCTAAATTGAGTAAACTTTTTGCGACATCCTCCACGTACTCGAGTGTGTGCGGATCTTTGTAATATGGTTCGCGACTCAGTCGTTGCATGGATTCCTTCAACCACAATTTTGTGTGATTGTATTCCTCCAAATGGAACAGTTGCTTACCCAAAACAAAACAGTCCTGCCAGGTCATGCTTGTTCTGGAAAAACGTAATAGTGGACGAAATGGAAACAAATAAGAAATATATAAACGCGATCTAAGTATATTGTTTTGAAAAGGTACATAGTTCAGAAAGTAAATGTAGAATTTTGTTACCATGACAAATACTCTAAGATCAGAAACCCCGTCATCACTCACCCATATTTGACGCCATTTAAGAAACCGCCTGCTATTTGCGCCGTATCTAGGTGATATGTCTCTTGCAGACGCGCCAAAGCAGCCGCGGATGCTTTGAAGTCTTCTGCACTTGGGAAACTGAGTGTTTCCCGAAACTCAACCATTTGTCGCAGGAAAGCTGGAAAACGAAAGTATTATTTTAGGATGAAGTTATGCTTTTTGGAATGTTATGGACAAAATTTAATTCACTTACTGTTCGCAGCCTCATCTGACTGCACGCGTTCCTCATAAATCGTCCAATCGGTGGTTAGGCGCTTCATTAAGCGGTAAACATTGACGGGATTGGTTAAATAATTTTCGGTATTACGGGCCGCCTGCGCATATTCCATTTCGATGCGATGCAGTTCACTGAAATGATATTCAAGTTATCAAGGCCGTAAACCTTTATTGTGAAAAAAGTGAAAAACTTAAGTGAACTGCCAACTTGATCCAGCGCCTAGCTACCGTTTCCACGACAGTCGGGTCTACGCAATCGGAACGGATCCGGATTTTCTCCGACCAATGAGTGCCAATTCGATAGAATTCTGTCGCTGCAACAACAACAGCGCCATTAAACCATCCCGGCGCTTACTGGATTTTTAAAGGGGTTTGAAAGTTTGGGACATAGCTCGATATGCCAAGCCCTTTTTACGGGAGCTACTCAACTGCCCAAACGATGATAATGAAGCAGACGTTTCATTTCCCGACCAAGAAGATG